ATAAGCTAAGCGCAGAGATGTCGCGCAGCACCATCAGGGCAACGTGTCAAGTGGTCGGAATACCAGGTAAAAGATCCTGATGAGTTGCGAATAAGGTCAAAACAGCATGAGCTGCGGTGGGTCATAGTTACAGTAGTCAGAAAGCAAACTATTCTATTTTACACACTGGCTATATTAAAATTTTATAAAAACAAAATGGTGGATTTTAGTCAAAAATAAACGCTGAAATGCCTATTACACGGGCTACAGTCATGAGGTGTTTCTAGATTTGTCTTGACATTGCGAGTGCCACCAGGTATACTAAAATTTCACAATTATACTTCAAATTGCGCCCCATGACAACTTAAGACACATGCCAGTTACATTCTGATCTAAGTTACACACAATATGTTAAAAGCCTTGTAGCTGGGATGAAAAGTAAAAAAATACCTGAACCTTGAAACTTTAACACAGCCTTAATAAATAAGCTTCTAGATCCTATTATATTATGCTCCTTACCTCAATATTTGGCAAAGCACAGATTTCACCTTCATTTAGATTTTTACTTCCAACAGTATAACTGGCAACAGTGAATTTTGTCTCTGCACTTGGTGGCAAGGGTTTGTTTCTATCATACAATCTGAAATCAGAATCAGAAGGACGACAATAGTGGAATATTGAGGGTAACGATATGCAAAGTTGGCTCAAGCTTGCATAACCAAAATCTTCATAGTTTATATCCTTGCAAAACATTGACCTGAAAAAAAAAATATCAAGATAACTGAAGGTTTGTTCCAACAAGCAGTTCCGAACTAGTTCTGAACTAATTCTGAATTATTTTTCTGCACATGTGTGAGGTAACTACAGTTCAGAACTAGTTCTGAACTATTCTGTTGGAACAGGCTTGTTGTCGTAAACATTACATTAATTGAAGTAATATTTCAAATTACCAATCTCATTTAAAATTACCACTCTTCCTCCAAAAGATGAGTAGCTAGGTGAAACATTTTAAAGAAGTAGCACGAAGTTTTGGCGTTTTTAGGGCTGGAAGATTTCACTATTTTGTTTTTGGAAGAAGCATGGTCTGCTACAGTAGAAGAGAAGGAAATTAAGTGGAATATTAGCAACATTAAGCTATTAATTGACTTGAAATAAAAGGAAAATATAAGATTAATATTACTAATAACATGACTGAAACAAATTCATTAAAATTTATTATCAACACTTGACGATTTAATTTTCATTTCTGTTTCTTGGAATTCCTATAATCAGGTTCAAGATCTTTATTATTCATAAAACTGCCACATATTCTCAGAATACTTATAGACAAGCACTACATTTTTCTAGAAGTGATATTTAGAAACAAATCATTTTTTTAAATGCATGAATAAGTGGCGTCTTTACCTATAGAGTTTGGGAAGATCTGCACACCATATCCCATTTTCATGTTGTCCTATCAAAAACCTTAGATTTTCTCTTATTGGTAGAGGGACATTGCTTTGAATATCGCCTACCTCAGCCGGTATTCTATCGAATAAAAGTTTTTTAGTTCTGCCACAGCCAGCGGAATTTTGCGAATCACTGGAATAAAAAAAACCATACAACAATATCAAAAGAAAAATGTTTTAAATTATTTCCCAACATTCAAACAACAGTCAGTAGACCGCACACCTTTGATAAGATGAAACCTTTTACCCACCTCTTTTCTTCAACACTTGAGCTAGATTTTGGCATATGACTATCAACAATCCTCTTGTAAATATCTGGGCTCTTCTCGGGCAATTTATTTGTCGCTAAATTCAACTTAGAGGGATTTCGTTCACGATTTTCAGGTGTACTTGTATTCAGAACTGGTTGCTGATTGGGTCTCTCGACTGGTTCATCAACTGGTTTTTGGACTGGTTTCTCAGGATAGCTTTGATATGAGGAACTGCTCTCGCTTGGTGGATAAAAAATCTTGTGGCGTTGAGGTTGTGTACCAGGTTGTTTGTAAGGATTTGTGATTACTGGTTTTTGATATTGGAGATGTTTCCTCTGTTGAAAGGGGAAGGATTGCCTACAAAATGTTTTAGCATTAATAACATGACCTTGCAGATTAAAATAAAACACACAACTGAATCAGTCAAACATTTGAAAAACCGCTTAGGTCAATTTTTAGCAACAGACTTTTTCACTGAGAGAAAAGGTAGTTGCTTTCTGCATGCACTACTACTCGACACTGGGTACTTGAATGGGTCATTTCAAAAACAGCACCAGAATTTGATTTATTTTCATATTATGTGCTATATGCACCAAAATACCAATTTAATATCACTAACTAAAAAATTAAGTTTATGGGTGAATACAGTAACCACTTTTCCCTATCATCTTTTCACAAAATCACCTACTCAAGAGTTTTATTTTTTCCTACCAATTCTCCTAGTTTGTATGACTGACAAAATCCTTTGATTATACTCTAAACGTTTTAAAAATCTATCCATATAGATAATATATAACTGAACTCCTATCTTGCTGTTAATTTTGCTGTCTGTTAGTAAAGTAAGCATGTGATTGTTCTACAAATGATTATTGAAGAAGTTTGATTAATAAGTCTATGTACTTTTTCACAATAGAAGTGTCATGGTTGAGTGACAAACAGGAGATTATATTTTCCCATGATGAAATATAATTCTACTTTACTTCCCAGAGTATTCATTAATTTGGTTTTATGAACAAAAAATATTGTACTGTATTTTGAAGTATCAACCAATGTCTTGAATTTCTCACTTTCAAAAGATCCATGTGCTTTAAGCCAAACTGGAATTTTTAGTGTCACATAAAGATATATACCTGTGTGAAGTCTTTTCCTAGTTATCTTTTGATTTGTAACAAGTTCATTTATATGCTTGGACTTTTCAGAAATGACAGGGAGTACTGTTGCCATGGGCCCACTGCCTTTAACCTGAAAGAAATGTTATTCTCATATATCTTACCAATAAATATATGGTGTGACACCAACAAGCTTTTTTGAAAGAGTAATAATAAATCATCAATACTGTAAAATGAACTTGGGAGTTCTGTTTGAACTGGAAATAAACCTACAGAGACTATAAGGAAAGGATCAGCAGAGTTAATGTAAATGTATGTCTAGTTCAAACACATAAGGTGATAGCAGCACTGTGGTGTTTTATGTGGAGCTGCCAAGAAATTTCATCTAAGTTCAAGTTATTTTTACTAAAACAAATGACATCAAGTAGGTTGATGCAATGCTCATGATCATGGCCATCTAAGAAAAAATTTACACAGATACAGAGCAGAGCAAATTAAACAGATCAAGTCAGTCAAACATGCTGATACAATTATCCACTGAGCTGTCATGGAATGACACTCATGGAGGAGACCATAATGCTAGAGATGTGTACCAAAGATATTTCTGTAAAGTTTTAAGAGTAAATGTATGGGCATTTAAAAAAAGAAAGTATTTGTGAAACAATTTGTTGATTCCAAATTTGCAAGGTCGTGCAATAAAACAACTAGCTAATAATCTGTGGAAACATCCAAATTAATGTTTGGTTTTAGGATCATTCAAAATGACAGAAGCTGATATAAAATTGTTAGTGTAGTAACTCAAAACAAGAATCAATGAGACCTTTCATAAATCTATGCATTCCACTTATTTCTAGGAGGCAACAGTGACAAGTCTTCTTATTTCTAATCAGCACAGAGGTTCAATAGAAGAACGTTTTACTAGGCATACTTTTCGTCTTATTTGATTGTGAACACACAATACTAGGCACTTACCTGTACTGTATCAGAGATAGATTTCAAGAAATGTTCCATGGAATTGTATCCTAATTTGTGGTATGGTATTTCCTCCCCGAGCATATTTCTGTAGTCCTTACTCAGCTGATTTATCGTCATAGTAAGTGGTGACGAGGTGAGAACACTAATGATGTATTTCTTCACATTAGACTCCATTTCGGACATTTATAATTATCTTTTTCATATATTTATGGCGCCAAAAAGTAAACTACAACGTACATGAGGGGCAGATATACACTAATAAAAATTAGAAATACACACAACACAGAACACACAACTTCCAGGTTGTCAACCACAAATGTCAACGTCATCAACCTGTCAAAAAAAGCTGGACGCGTAGGTATATTCTTTAATTCATCGGTTGATTCCATCACTGATGGATCCGGTGAACTCATGGTTGACAGCTGATGTGATGACGTCAGCAACCGGTTCCGTTGAATGGTCGTTAATAAAAAGACGCATTTTTAGCCTTCAGGTTGCTGTCATATGAGAATACCTAACCTTTGTTTTATCGTAAATGGATACTTGTTCATTTTCATTTGAACACCGTATCATTTAAAATCATTATGGAAATGTAAGCAGCAGTTGGTATTGTCGTGGAACGTTTGTTAAGCGATTCGAGTGATGATTCTGATGAAGAAGTTATCCAGCGGAGAGAATCAATATAAGAACTATAAATCAGAAAACCAAGAAATTTTCAGATATCGACGATCTCAAATCAATACGAGGCATTGATTTGAGAAGGTCGACGCTTCCCGTATAAGAACCATCGATATGGATTTCCTGAGAGCATTCCTGTATTCATACAGGAATAAAAACAGAACAAAATCAGAAAATCGACATTTTCGGACTTCGAGGTATTAATATGAGATCGTCGATATGCATAATTCAAAACATATTGACTTGCTTTCAGATGCTCTGTTTATTTCAATTTGTGTTGAAAAAAAACATTAAATTTCACGCGACTCCTAAGCTGCTAACTTCAATCTTTTCTTCTTCCATTTTTTCACACAAAACTGTAGTTGTCAAAAACTGATAAAATGTAGATGCTAGAATATCGTGGATCAACCGAGCCCGAACGTCGGTGGATGCTGTTGGCACCGGTGGCATATCCACCATCAATATAGAGACAAGTTTGATCTACAACCGGTCGTTCCAGTGGAAATTAAAGGACGCAAACTTGGCTAACCGGTTGCACCGGTAGCTCAACCGGTGAATTTAAGAATATACCTCGTGGGTGGACAATAATTCAAGAGACGGCCCATCATAGAACATCAGTCACTAGATGTCTGTTGTCATAATTTATAGAGTTCTAATTCAATGCCAAATCCTCCATCTTCGTCCCTAATCTGGAGCACAAGTTGTCGCTATATTCTCCTGGCAAGCGCAATAAAAAAGCGAAAACACAAACTAAACTTCAACAAACATTTTATTTTCTATCCTATATCAACAAAATCAAACGATAACGGTAGGAGCGTATGGGTAGGCACTGTATCCAGCGGCGTAGACAGAGGGTGCAGCTATGTAGCTAGAGTATGCCAGGGGAGCAGCATAGGGATAGGCGGCATATGCAGCAGGGGCAGCCACAACTGGAGCGGTGTATGCAGCGGCGAGAACACTTGGTTTAGGGGCAGCCTTAGGCTCAGGGACAGCCTTGGCTTCAGGAGCGGCCTCGGGAGCTGGAGCGGCTACAGCCAGGGCGATGATGGCGAAGAATACTACCTGAAAGTAAAAATGTACGTCAAATTTTGTAATAGACACAGACAACTTTTTATCTCAATATGAAAACCAATCAATACAATCGAGAGTAAACCACGCCATCCCAGAAAAAATTGCGTAAATCAGGTTGACATAGCTTTCAAACGAACTAGTAATGCACGATATGGGTTTTCATGAAAGAAAGAAATCCTCAGATGGCAGCAATGAGCGTGTCCATAGCAGAGAGTCCCATTGCTTCAGAACTCTGTTATAAAACTCTGTTTGTCAACAATGATTGATAACTGAATATAATATAGCTCATGATACATAATCATATACTATATAGCATTATGTCACGAAATCAAATAACCACATTGGATTACACTCCAAGCATCTATCGCGCCCACCACGTATGTTACCGCGCTGATGGCGATTAGATCTTTATACGTCACTCCAATCAAATATCAAAGATGCATAATTATAAATAACCAAATGTCGTAAGTCATGTGCGACCGATAGCCGTCTGCTGAAAATATTTTTCTGATTCTTAAGGTTAAATGTACGGGCAAAAATCTATGAGGTGGAAATATGTCTAATAGGTGTGCAGAATTACTGCGGCTGGAAGTGTATTATTATACTAATATGCAAAATTGACTTATTCTTTCCCAGCCCTTACAACCCTCATTCCCCATTTTCACCCCAAAAATGTTTTCAAAAAGATCAGGAGCCATTAAAACATCAAAAAAACAAGTTTCTATTTTTTTTCGTTTTTGGTCTTTTTCTCGGCCGCCACTAAACTGAATTTCAAAATCTTTCAAGCCTTTTCGCCATTGGTATAGAAGTAACCTTGTGTGAAGGTTTGGTCGAAATCCAAGCAGTATTTTCCAAGGATTAATGGGCCGACGATATGAAAAGTACTCAATTATATCTTCTATGACCCCCACAGCATATCGCGACCTATTTCTTAAAATTGATGCAAAAAACGAAAGACTTGCGGATGGATATAAATATATTATAATGATAATAATAATAATTATTATAATAATAATAATAATTGTAATAATAATAATAATAGTAAAAATAATATATAAATATATATATAAAAATTATTATTATTATTATTATGATTATTATTATTATAATTACTATTATTATTATAATTATTATTATTATTACTATTATAATTATTATAGTTATTCTTCTTATTGTTATTATTATTAATATTATAATAATAATAATAATAATTATTATTATTAAAATTATAATTACTACTATTATTATTATTATTATTATAATTATTATTATAATTACCATTATTATTATTATTATCATCATTATTATAATTATTATTATTATTATTATTATTATAATTACCACGGCACAGCTTTATTAGATGAGGTCCCGGATGTCATGGGAATGCTAATCTTTGCTGCATCTGTTATAGCGTGTGTGATATCGTCCACTGCTATATTAATGTCTTCAGTTAGAGGAGGGATACGAAGGTGCTCAGAAAATGTGTTCCAATCAGCTTTCGCAGTCAACCATCTTTTATGTGACGGATAGAAAAGTTTGGGGACATCCGTTGTTATGATGATTGGAAAGTGATCACTAAAATTGAGATCATCTAAGACCTTCCAGGATAATCTAGTAGCCAGTTGTGGTGAGCATAGTGAGAGATCTATAGCAGAGGATCCAGCTGTTCTGATATCGAAGTGTGTAGGAGATCCTGAGTTCAATAGAACTAAGTTCGATGAATCAATGTATTCCTCTATAGTTCGTCCCCGGATATCTCTGCGCATAGATCCCCAAAAAGGTGAGTGCGCATTAAAATCGCCCATCAAAATAATTGGTCTTGGAAGCTCTGATAGAAGCCTGTACAACTGATCAATATGCCAATCGCCATCAGGTAAGTATAAGCTACACAATGTAGCAGCAAATGCCGTTGTGATGCGAACTGCGACAGCTTGAAGTTCCGTATCCAGTCTCTGTTCCTGCGCTATGATATTCTGCTTTACGAGTAAGGCCACACCACCTCGTGCTCTGCGGTCTGGTATGACATCCTTGCGGTAAGTATTGTAGTTTCTAAGAGAGAAAGATGTCTCTGGACGGAAGTGGGTTTCCTGTAATGCAATACAGAAAGGATCGTTCTCCCTAACCATCACACGAAGTTCATTCACATGAGACACACAACCATTGCAATTCCATTGCATTATGTTTTGCATATTGTACTAAAAAGTTTAACTCCTACAATTAAAATATGGAGAAATTATCCCAAAAGTTAGAAAATAATGTAAAAGTAAATATTAAATAAATATATAAATACATGGACAAGTAAACAAATATCAAATTAAGGTGAATAAATTAACATAGAATTAAATATTAAAATTTTAACTATCTATTATCACAGGTTCATCACAGTTAGGTTCGCTTCCAATCTGGTTGTCTCCAGATTGTGGGTTTGAAGCATTAGGTTGTCCACAAGACGCAGTATTAGTTCTTGCGTTGATTTGATCTGGCTTGGTTTGAGCTGGAGCAGCCCTCTTTCGGGGTCTACCCTTCGGCCAGCCGCGCTTGCCTTTTCTGGATTCTGGGTCGTCGGTCTGAGATGACGTTAGACTTGCATCAGAGAGATCTGACCCATCAACAGGTGAGGATGCCTTTCTTTTTGATTGATTAGAGGCATCTGATTGGCTGAGGTTTCTAAGAGACAAGCTATGTGATACTTTTGGCTGAGGTGTAACGAATTGAGGTTGCTCAATTTCATGGAAGTCTTTGCCTTTCAGTGCTTGAGAAATCGAAGATTGGATGATATTAGTCAGACGTGGGATGATCTTTTCGATAATAATATCATCCTGGCTCTTTTGCGTGGCTTGTGCATACGACACGTTTGGTTGTGGAGTATGCACCACCACCTTTTTCTTGGCCTCAATATAACTTATTTTGTCAGTAGCGATCAGTTTCTGAATAGCCAATTCTGTTTTGTATCTTGGGCATTCCTTCGATGAAGCCACGTGAGGCCCGTGACAATTTAGGCACTGTACCGGGCGATCACATGGTCTTCCCATGTGTAACTCCTTTCCACATATGCATACCTGTTCATTTTGGCAAGACAATGACGTATGGCCGTACCGTTGGCATCTAAAGCAGCGTACTGGTGGGGGAATATACTGCCGAACATCAAGTTTATACATAGCGCATTTAAGTTTCGATGGTAATCTGGGGGAGTTGAATGTGATTATGTGATTTGGTGTATCACGCAGTTCATTGTCCCTCTTGACTCTAATTCTCTGTACATGTATCACTCCTTCTGATTTCAGTTCCTCGAGAATTTCACTTTCAGGGCAATTTAAGAGGTCTTTGCAGTACACGACCCCTTTGCTAGAATTTAGCGTTGGGTGGGCTTCTACTGTGACAGGAATATCTGTAAAATGCTGTATTCTTATGAGTCTGTGAGACTGGGCATCTGTTTTTGTTTCCACCAATATGCCAGCTTTAATCTTTTTAACAGAGTTAGGGTCTCCTA